CCTACCACAGGCGGTCCTACAGGTCGCGGGTTCAAGTCTACGGGTTGACATCCATACTGTACACAGGTAAGATGGGGAACTAGGGATCGAGCCCTAGGATCTGCATTCGCTACTGCGAACTGGTGAATACCGTTTCAAAGGTACCTGCGATTGCGTCCGATACCATTAGTCGAGTAAGTTCCAGTCACTCCAGCGCATGTCCCGAGTCGTAGAAATCACTGCGGATTCATGTGGAAACATCCAAGGAGTCCGTTGGTTCAGTAGAATTGTTCTTTGAGATATCTATCAAAAATTAAAATTGGAAAGATAAAGAGGAGGGTAGCATGTCTCCTCAGCGAGGACGACATGCACAAATCGGTTCAGAAGACTGATTGTCTGACATCTTTCATTTTTTGTCGTTGTCTGTACTGTGGTGGATGAAGTGGGTTAGTCATAGAAATCACCGCGGAAACATTTGTGGAGTCGACTTCATCTGGCTTCTCAACCCGTCAAATCAGTCCAAGCCATTGGCTGCGGATTGGAAAGCTGCTATCTTTGACATGGTCAAGGTACTACGCTCCCTCCGACCGGATAAGAACATTCTTTCCTATCTGCAACCTCTCTCTCTCTCTCTCTATCTGCAACCTCTCTCTCTCTATCTGCAACACCTCTCTCTCTCTCTCTCTCTCCTCAGTGCTCTCTCTCTCTCTCTCTCTCTCTCTCTCTCTCTCTCTCTCTCTCTCTCTCTCTCTCTTCACATGTAAAGAACCTTTTACTTCAGAACGTGGCCTGCGTTGTTCAGAAGGATCTTGGATGCCTAAAGCGCCTTGCGCAGCATCCATCTCCTTTCCCCAGAACTTTGTCTGCTCGTCATCTTTCTTCTCTCTGTTCCTTTTCATTTGGTGTGCCAAATATTTTGTATTTTTCTTTTTCTCCGACGCTTCCTTCTTTTAGCCCTTCGTCCTTTTGGTTCTTTTAATTGGCGTTTGGGATTGCTTCCTCGTTTGTTTTAACATCATGCATCGTGGTTTCTCCCTTTTGGGTCCAGTATCGGCGCGGTTTTGTGGAGGTGAATGGGGCTTATTTCTGTTTGTGTGTTTTTTTTTAATTTCAGAGGGCTGAGGGATGTTGGCATGTGGTTGGATTTCTTTGCACAGGCAAAACTGGTCGAGGCAGGACTGAGAGGTAGAGAGGCCTTCCGGTTCTTCAAGACGAAGGGCGAAGATGAGGGCAGAAATGAGAGCGGAGATGATGTGGTTACACTTCAAGCATTCCAGGATGCAATGGAACAGGTGCATATGATGTAATGGATTCAAGGCAGTGTACCAGGTGTACTGCGTGAGATGTACCTTGGTCCTGCTCTCTCTCTCTCTCTCTGTTATGATCTTGGTTGTCTGACGAATTTTATCGCCACTCACACACAAGCAGTCTCATACATGCCCATACATGCATAAGAGAAGGGGAGAGAGGAGACAGAGTCCAAACTGCACACAGGTGAAAATAGGCAGCGGAAGACAATCATGCACAGATGGGGAGAAGACACACAGTGTTTCTCACTCTCTGACGAAACTCCCAACAACCAATCACAAGAAAGAACCTGCGAAGATCACAATTGAAATCCACACTGATGATGAACCACTCAAACAATTATCGTAACAGAGTTTGTTCCAGTATCTCGCCACTCTCAGAACTCACACCCCACTCTCTATCCTAC